GCGGATGAAAGCGGCAAGAGGTATTTGAAATAGAGTGAATTCACGTAGCGAGTAAGAAAGGTTCGTGGGTTCGGAAAACTATTCTATATCTACTCGCCGAGAAATTGAGGGAAGATCACGCTTCCGTCGCGATATGAATCTGACACGGATGAAGGGACTTTCACACGATTCCGTCGAGGGACATCACCGGAGCGAATGGCCTAGGCCTATGTCCATCTACTCTCGTGATGTAAGCATTCCGATCCTCAAAATTCGTTGAGAGACCCCTGCCCGTCCCGAATTTTCCAGAGGTCCGGGCCAAAACTAAACCAGGGGTCCCTTGATGGCTGGTCCGGCCCTTGGCATTGGGCCCATCGGTCCCAATGAGTCCCGCGATGTCCCCTCCTCTGGGCGGCCCTGGAGAAACCCGGAATGGGACTCTTCGTGCACGCTCTGTCGCCACCGTCAGCCACGAACTCAAAGCGAGAACGAGTAGCCATCACCGAATAGGCCAGTAGACGAAGGCAACGGACGAGGATGGCACTGGATGCGATCGCGGAGACACCTGCAGGATGCAGCCGTCCCTAGGAAAGCTCCCCATCGCACATCCATGGAAAATCCAATTACGAGTGGATGCATAAACATTGCTGCGGGGGCTCTAAAGAAATAAAACTGTATTTCTTCTCGGCGCTCTCGCAAGCGTTTCCTCATCGTTCATCGCGAGAGACGGCCGGCTCTTCGGACGGAGCCGTGCGCTGCGATTACGAATACGCCTGACGGGCCTCAGAATCCCTTTTGTAAGCGGAAATCTCTCCATCTTGTCGAATGTCTCTTCTGTCATTACATGTCACATTGACGGGAAGTTGAGGGTATTTTCGTAGGTACGAGGAACGCGATCGCCTCATCATCCCATTATGCAGGAATGGAACAATAGATGCGCGGCACGCGATCCTATTTTCGTGTATGGGGCCGACATCATGCCGAAAGGAGGTCTAATTTTGATCTCAGTCGTGAGACCATATTTTATTTAGGGGATTTAAAAAAAATGATCCATCGTTCCTATGGAAGAAAGGCAGCCAGCAATATGCGATGCGATAGACTAGATCGACTATGAGACTGGAAGGCCACGAAGTGTTCGAGCGAAAGTTACACTTTTCTCAGTATCCTCGTCTCGAACTTGCGACGATTCACAGCTGGATCATTCATCCACAAGTGTGTCCATCATCTTTGCTCGACTATCTTAGAATTCATTTGAATTTGACAGTCAATCGGAATATGTTGAGGGTAGCGTGCAGCCCCCTGTCTCCATTCTTCAATTACTACTGTTGCAAATCACGCGTCGCCCCTGGGTAGGGAGTTGAGGGGGGAGGGAGGGGTTATATTTTGCACAGATATATATATTTTTTACCATTGTGACCTAAGTCTGAACCGAAACTCGAACCGAACTGCCGTTTTGAAAACGAACCTATGTTTCCATAGAGACTCATGTTACAGGAAATAGTCCCAGTCGATACCTCGTCCGAGTTCGCGTAAAAGCAGGGACTGCAAGAGAATCGAAGGAAAATCTAATAGGCCATGAGTGAAACATCTCTCTAAATTCATCCCCCGAAGTGTCTGTGACACTTGTAACATTTCGTGCCGTGTAGGCCGCATTGGCTGACATGGCAGTCAATGCATTAAAATTGTTTTTATGGTCCTAATTTTGACGGCAGAGGAAAAAAAACAAGGTAGAACGTCAATTTTAAGCCTCTGGATCAGTGATTCTTGTTTTCTGAAAAAATTTCAAAATCGAAATTTCAAAAGTCCGAACCTCTCCATTCTCTGCGTAAATCGTGACACCTTCGTCAAATACGGCAGGGAACAAATCCACGATGAAACAACGTATCAAGTAATCTTGCGATGTCATGACTCAAAACTTTCCACGTTCGATTTTGAAAGCTGGTAATTAAGAATTAAAATTTATCATTTACAAATTATCAATTACAAATCATCGGCCTTACTAATCGAGCGAATGGCACGGGAAAGTTGGAATTCTAAAAGTTTGCAGTGTCCGAGTGGAAATGCAAACCCCGTATCTCTTCCCACGTTTGGTGTACGGACCTGCGATTTTGGTTCTTTGCAATCCTCGACATGATCCGACCGCGTGCCAAATCGATTAACTTCTGAGATGACCGAGATAAGGCTGTTGGCACAGGTGGTGAAGCCCAGTTTCCTTCGGGCGGGGGAAGAAAAAATGAGGGGGTAGGAAAGCGAAGGAAAAAGGGGGGGGGGGGGGACACAAAAGATTTTGTTCTATATTCATGGCTTTTTCCAGGAAGGATCTCTCCCGCCTCGAACCTTAAAATACAACATCGCCTACACATTTGCGTATATGATGATATATGATATGATATGTACCTAGTTCTGCCATAAATACTGTTACAAGATTTACATGTTCCTTGCATTCTAGCGAAAGAAGCTAGAAACTTGTAACCTAGTAATCGTGCAGTGTATTATCTGCCGTTCTCAGGAGGTCGCGATCGAAAGTGTTGCTGCAGAGGTACGCGCAAAACAGACACCACAAAATCCTCTTTACTGATGAGAAAATCTTCACTGTTGAAGAAAAATTCAACTGGCCAAATAGCCAAGTGTATGCCCACAACTCNATGGTCCCAGGTCGATACCTCGTCCGAGTTCGTATACAAACAGCAAGAGAACAGCATACAAATTGCTTTAGCAAGAGAATCGATGGAAAATACAGGGTGTCCCAAAAGGTATAGAAACATTTCAAAATGTCCACCCCTGGCCTTCACACATGACTTTAAACGATCAGACCACTCATCCATCGCAATACGCACCACTTCCATTGGATATTGGCTGCTGATTTTGCAAGGGCTCGCAGTTCAGTTCCAGTTCATTTCCAGTTTTGGTTCAGTTGCAGTTCCAGTCGGGATCTCTTTGCAATCGAAGTCGACAGGAGGAAAGTAGAACTCGAGTCTGACCAAAGTCTGAACCGAAACTCGAACCGAACTGGCGTTTCGAAGCGAACCCATGTTTCCACGTTTCCATAGAGACTCAACGGGAAATGGTCCCAGGTCGATACCTCGTCCGAGTTCGTATACAAACAGCAAGAGAACAGCATACAAATTGCTTTAGCAAGAGAATCGATGGAAAATACAGGGTGTCCCAAAAGGTATAGAAACATTTCAAAAAGCAATATTTCTCTAAGAAATGCCTCAAATTAAATTATCCAAACGGTAAAAGAAAGAGCAACTCAAAGATTTTTTAAAACCTGTTCTTGTAATTCCACACGTGCACCATTTGTGACTCTGCAGACGTCCAAACGATGTTTGAGCTCTTGTCGCACCTGATGCGATGTCAGGCGAAACTCGAAACTCGCAGGGCAGTTGCGACAATTCTGCTCTTTAGATCTTGGAGATTGGCGACTTTTCCTATGCAAACAATGTCCTTGACATAGCCCCATTAAAAATAAAAAGTCTAAAGTGGTAAGACCAGGCAATCTTAGTGGCCATTCCATGGCCACTAAGATTACCTGGTCTAATGGCCACTTCGTCTAATCCACCGATCTGAAAAAAAAAAACTTTTTATCCATAAACGTATGCACAAGTTTTGCTAAAATGTGGAGGTGCAAACTCTTGTTGGAAAATCAGATCTTCGTTGGCACCTGCTCTCACCCCTTGGACTTTTGTCGTTGGGCTATGTCAAGGACGTTGTTCACATTGGAAAAAGTCTGCAATCTCCAAGATCTGAAGGGCAGAATTGTCGCAGCTGCCCTGAGAGTTTCGCCTGACATTGCATCAGGTGCGACAAGAGCTCAAACATCGTTTGGACGTCTGCAGAGTCACAAATGGTGCACGTGTGGAATTGCAAGAACAAGTTTTAAAAAGTCTTTGAGTTGCTCTTTCTTTTACCGTTTGGATAATTTAATTTGAGGCATTTCATTTAGAGATCTTAATTTTAGGGGGAAAAGCTTACAATTATGCAATATGCTATGTGTGTTCACCGGTGTTGTCGATGCATTTATTAAGGTGTTCTTTCCATTCGTTCTCAGCTTTTTCTAAGACATCTGGCGCAATTTGAGAGCAGAACATAACATCAAAACATAAAAGCAAATGAATTATTCCCCATACATTTCCTCTTAAATGGGACACCCCGTAGAACCCCAGGCATATCTGCGTTAGCACGTCGATGCCAGAGTCTGTTACACTTAATGGCTCTGCCAATCACGTTGACTCAAGTGGTTGTCACGTTGGCTCAAAAAGTTAAAATATGTATTTTCGCGGTCCTGATCTCGACGGTAGAAAAGCCGCTACGTTCGAGATAGAACGTCCATTCCAAGCCTCTGGATCCGCGAAGTCAAAGTAAGTTTGGAAAGGAATCCGCCGATTCCGTACACGAGGTATCCTTGGACTTTGCTCTTACGTACCGCAGTCTTCAAATACTTCGGACGATGAGTTATTCACGGTCGGGCCGAGTGCAAACAATCGATGATGCTTTCGAGTACAGTCCCGATGGGTTCTCCTACGGAAAAGGACTTTTTTCGGTCGGTCGGGAAGAAAAATGCGACGCCGTAAAAAGGTTTGGCTCTAGGCGTCCTTTTCCATTCGCGAACGCGATGAATATCCCGGGCGTGGACATCAATAATAATGAAGCAAAGGGGAGCCGATGTTGCATCATTTCCCTCCGAGACGGAAGGAACGCGCCGGGCCGGGGTTTCCGCGGAGAGAACATCCATCACCGCGTGACTTTGGCCGTGAAGCGCGAACGAGAGTGGAAGAAACGGAGCGAGCCAAGGCGTGGGCATGCCCGATTACGTCAGAGATCGCTTCGTCGCCGAGGCGAGAGGAGAACGGAAGCCCCTGCCCCCCCCCTCCCCTCCCCCTCCCCCCTCACCGATGCCTATAGGCATGATCCAGATGCAAAGGGGGGAGGGCCACGCCTTCCTCCGTCCCCGGACGATTTCGACACACGTCGCCACCCTTTATATAAGGGCGAGGGGGGGAGCGAGGGGGTGTCAGTCAGATCTCTATTTTCCACGGATCATTTTTCAGTTCGGTCTCTCGTTCCACGACAATGGCCTTTCGAGTGAGTTTCCACGTTTCTCTCTCTCTCTCTCTCTTCGAGAAGTTCTCGGAGATCTCGAGGGTTTCGATTTAGGGGATCGTGCTCCGCTCCCTACTTCTTCTTTCAATTTGTCGGTCGAAACTTTTGATTAGCTTTTGAAAACTTTTGATATCCATAAACGATATAATACGTTTATTTGGTAAGTGTACTTCATCCATGTGAATTTCCTTTTTCTCTTAATTGTTTTTTGGGGGGATCGTTTTCTCTCGAAGTTTTCATGGTATTTTCAACATCCGAACGCAATGTAGACTTCGTTCCGTCTTCTAAGAACGGAATGCATCGAAATTGATTCCAGATTTTTTTTTCCCACGAAAAATCCGGACGTTCCAACTCGATAATTCGCGTCTCGCAGTCGTTTCTTCCCGCGGAATCTGGATCCGACGTTCGGAAAATGCGTTCGTCGCCGTCTCGCGGGCACGCAAAGAGAACTCAGACTCGCGATGGAACCACCGAGCTCGTTCGTTCCTTTCGTCGTGAAACGGTGAAAGAAAAAAAACCTTGATGAAATCCCGCGGCGTCGAGCCCCCGGCACACAAAACGGGGAGTCCATCCAACTCCTTTCATCCCCGCATGACGAAACGGAAACTGGAAGGCCGTCCGAGACCCAATTCGCTCCCGCGAGACCAACGAACGATGGAATGTTGCATAATTATGTCATATTTATATTATATCATATCATGACTTAACGTTGCAGTACCTGGTAGTCGCTGCCCTGTTGGCCCTCGGAGCCACCGTCCAGCAGCCATCCCGTTACAGCCCTGCACGTCCCTCTTACAAGAGGCCTGCACCCGCCTATCCGGCCAAGCAGCCCGCCTACCAGCCGGCCTACCAACAACCCGCCTACGAACCGGCCAAGCAACCGGCTTACCAACCCGCCTACAAGCCCGCTAAGCAACCCGCTTACGAACCCGCTTACCAGCCTGCTTACTCTCACAAGCGCCCCACCTATGAGGCTTATGATGACGTGAGTATTTTTTTAATTATCCTTTTCCCCACATCTAAGGTGATTTTGCTGTATTTCGCTGGATTCGCTCATCTTATAAGTTTATTTCTCCCGGTTCGTCGAAACCGACTTTCTCGCATCCGTGTCGTCTCCGCGTCGCTCTCTTTAGTCTCGACGTTTCCCCTCTTTCACGCTGCCATCTCTTCTCCCCTCCAGCCCCCATACTACAGCTTCTCCTACGACGTGAAGGACGACTACTCCTACAACGACTTCGGCCACAGCGAGACCAGGAACCTGCGAGCAAGATTATAGAAGCGATGATAAACGGGGAGGAAGATATAGATAAATTGATGAGCTATTGTCATGGGAAAATACAGGCGAGTAAAGAAGATCTTCGTTCAGCCTTAGAAGGCTTTATGAC